CTCTCAGGGGAGGAGGGAGCATATGAGAATCGCCTGTGGGGCTTTATCAGCCTCCGCCTCAGAATCATCTCAGTCAGTGGTTCCACTGAACATGAAAATCACATGGAGAGCTTTCAAAAAATATCAATGCCTAGGCCCCATCTGTGGTGGGTTTGTAATATCTCAACTCGGCTAGGTTGAACATTTCCTAGAATTTCCTTTCCAGTCAGGGTGGACTTCAAGATAGATTTGGGGGAGATTTGGAGGAGGCAAGTGAAGCAGTAACCATTCTGTAGCTCTCATACACTGTCACTCATCTGCTGGGTCATCTCGTTGGCATAAGTCAGCAACCAGACCTGTACCTGCTCCACTTCCCCAAGATCCTCCTTCAGCTTCTCCGACTCCTGGGCCAGGTGTATGTATTTAGCTCTGTGAAAGGGGCCCGGCCTGCTGTAAGACATCCTCATTATCCGGGTAATGACCGATATGGGGTTCCATCATTACGGGTCCTGGCTGCTTCTTGTTCTCCTACTTTAATTCCATCTCCCTCCCTCACTGCTCATCCTGTGGACATCCAGCTTCAACATCAGACTCAAAACGACACCTTACAGAGACTGCTTAACCAGCTCCTACAAGTGCATAAGGTCAAATCCCTGTAAAAAAAATCCCTTTATATATAAGTATGTTTATTCAACTGAACATTGCCTGATAAACCACTTCTGATAAACCACTCCAGACCAATTATGTCAGAAGCTCAAAGGTAAGGCCTAGACAGGAGTATTTGTCCAAAGCTCCCCAGGTGCTTCCAACGTGATTCAACACCTCCTACCCTTGAGTGAAAACCTCCACATCCTACTGCAAATCCTTGCCAGAGTAAGCCAGCATAGTTGATGGCAACCCCCGCCCCCCATCCTTCCTGGTGAGTTAGACTTGAGAAAATTTTTAAATCTTATTCTAAAAAAGAGAAAAATAAATAAATACATAAAATCCTGTTCTGCCCCACCGTACATACTTTCTCTGATTTAGTCCTTTTCCACAAATCCAGTCTCTACCCACTTCACAGATCACGGCAATCACCCTGTGTTTAATCTTTCCTCCTTCCATTTCAACCCACCCACAACCCCCAGACTGATCGGGGAAAGTACTCAGAGCATCCCTCCGTGTTCAAAGGCTTTCAGCAACTCCCTATCCCCAAGAAACCAATTCTACTCTCCTAACTTGGTATTTGAAGCTCCCCAGACTCTGGCTTCTTTCCACTTGGCCAACCTATCCTTCCGCTCCCTTTCCAATGTGAATCCTATCCTTGAGTACTTTCTGAACCACCATCAGCCCAAAGAGCAAAGCAGTGGTCACACAATGAAAGACAAAAGGCCTCCTCTGCCCTCCTTGGATTCTGCCTAACAACCAAGGCCACTAGCCAAGTGACAGCCCCATATACCACACCACTCCACGCCACCACCACTCTCCTTTCCCTTCCTTCTCAATCGTACTTGCTGCCTCCCGCTTATTTAGGGTAATGCACATACATTTGAGTTCTCATTGTAATAGAAGTAGAAAGTACAAATTCCTTTGTAGAAGTGCCCTTGACATATAATAAGCAGCAGCTGACCCCTCTTTTCATGTCCAGTTAATGCTGCTGTTACTGTGATCCTATTCCCAGATCTCAAAGAGGAAGAGAGTATTTAGTTAATTCTCCACCACAAAAACACAGCCTAAACCAAAGAGGATATTCAGTTTTTTCTCTCCCAGCATAGAAATTTCAAAGCCCATAAGGCCTTCTTGTATGTAGTAACATATGAACTAGCTTTTAAGTTTCCTTGCTGAACATAGAGTTTCCTTATCCCAGGGGTCTCCTTCTTGCACATTGGAAAGGGGGCCTCCCACCATTAGGGCATGTGCCCTTAGAGAGGCCTTTCTTCAAACACCAAGAGATTGAGAAGGCCCTAGTCCAATGCTTCTTCTACGATTCCCACTATCATCTAATATTAAGATGCAGAGTATTTGACACTTTCCAAGGTCTATATCTGAGCATTTCAATTTTTTGCTTTTGTCTTTCTTATTATCCATTCATGTTTAAATTGGAAATGTTTTCTTCAGATTTTCCACAAAAATACTCACCCATATTTCTCTGCAAGTCCTCTGGCTTCCTCCTCCTTCACTACTCTCTGTTCTTCCAGATCACTTTTGTTTCCACATAACACTATATCTGGGTTTTCACAATATGCATGCACTTGTAGCTGGCCTGTTAATATAAGATCAGATCATTTATTATAGGTAAACAATAATGTAAGTGTATGCAAAAGTGCTTTGAAAACCGTAAGGGGATATAAAGGACTGATATAGTGCTTCCAAGCATCAGTAATCTAATCCGTAAAGCTGAATGGATAAGACAGAGAGGTAAAACTACTCTTGTCCTTAAACACATACGCCAGCTTATTTACGTCAGAGAGGAATCGGAAACTTCGCAAACTCTCCAAAGGTACACCTACATATTCACACACACACTCACACACATACGCACACACTCACACGCACACACTCAAAACATGTGGCAGTCTTTTTTATGAAGGCCATCTGAAAAAAAAACTTGGAGGATTTCCTAGTGTTTATTGCTAATCTTAAAGCTCTATGTATCATACATTTTCCCTCTCCAGCAGTGATGTTTTTTAAAAAATTGTCTTCCTATAAACTAACCTATTTCTATCTGAAATATTTTTCATATTTTTCTATTATTCTAAGGCAAAATCATTTCATTTAAAACAAACAAGATACAGAATTAAATAAAGAGCAAAACCCCTGAATAAATAGTTAACGATTTAGTCACCAGAACCAAGAAAAAGCAGACTACGATTCTTATTCCACAGTTTTTATTCTCTTTCACAGTTTTAATTTCTTTTCGCCTGAAAACCTGAAAATTATAGGCATAATTTTAAAAAGCATTTAAATCAAACAAAAGAGCTTCACTAAGCTAAATAGTTTAATCTCCCAAAGAAGGAAAATAAAGTATTATTTCTTACTCATCACACTCCATAATGAAATTAAAGCCCAACTTTCACAAAGTTCGTGGCCTAATTTATTTTTTTATCGTGGTTAACCAGAAAAGTGTTGACATTTTAGTTCCTCATTACAAAGTCATGTTTATTATATCTTATCAAGAGAAAGTCAAGGTGGCAAGCATTTACTGGGCTTTAAGGAAGGCCTGATACTTGGTGTAGAATTTCAAGGCACTGACCTTTGCCCTCAAGGGACAACCAGGGAAACAAGAACTATACAGGCAAGACCAAACTCTGTCGTTTCTAATAACTGCCATACCTTTTCTTTTCTCCAAGTCATTACATAGTGCTGTCCCCACACCCTTGAATACCCAACCACAACCTTCCTTCAGAGACTCCCCACCCTTCCTTCAAGACTTGCTTCTCAGTTATCTCTACTGTGAAACCTTTCTGGTCTCCAGAGTGGCTCTGTGCTCTGTTAACACTTTATATGTCCAGTGTCATGGTTATAAGCATGTTCAGGACCCAATGTGTCTAAGGTTGAATCCTGGCTCTGCCATTTACTAGCTGTGTCACCCTGAGAAACTGATTTGACTGCACTTTGTCTCAGTTTTCCCATTTGTAAGTGGAGATAATAAAGGTACTTACTTCATAAGGTTAAATTGAGGACTGAATGAGTTAATTCAGTGACTCCTCAGGTAAGGTCCATAGACCAGCAGCCTTCAAATGTGTTAGAAATATAAATTCTCAGGTTCCCACCCCATATCTACTGAGTCAGTAATGCTGGGTATGGGGCCCAGAATCTGTGTTTTAACAAACCCTCTAGGTAATCCAGGTGCACACTCACACTTGAGAACCACTAAGTTAATACATTAAAGCAAGGGTCCCTAACGCCCAGGCTGTGGGCCAGTACAGTCTGTGGCCTGTTAGGAACCAGGTCACACAGCAGGAGGTGAGTGGCAGGTGAATGAACAAAGCTTCATTTGTATTTGCAGCCGCTCCCCAGCACTAGCATCACCACCTCAGCTCCACCTCAGATCACCAGGCATTAGGTTCTCTCTCATAGGAGCACCATTCCCTAGTGCCAAAAAGGTTGGGGACCACTGCATTGAAGCATTTATAAGTGCTATGTAACTATTACCAGTAGCAATGTTTAATAGCGTTTATTTGTGGGAGTCTGGGAAGTATGATTATTGGTGATTTTTCTTTTTTTTTTCCTAATTTTTCTACAAAGAATGTGAGTTATATAAAAAATAAATTAATCAATTCTTTTTTTTTAAAATCTCACTAATAGAAAAGGCACATACGTAAATAACTACAACTCAAGGTGTTATGTGATAAGGATCTTAAAAGTAGTACAAAAGTAATAGGAGTTAAAAGGAGGGGAAACATTTAATTCAACTAAAGTTATCACAGGAAACTTTATGGGGGCCATATTTTTTCAGATTTTAAAGAATAAGTAGAACTCTAATCAGTTAAAAAATGGGCACGAGTGTGAGGAGGGCTTTTTGAACAAAGGAAATAATAGAAATAAAAATATACATGTAAATATATATTACAAAATATACACTACAAAAACATATAAAATACATCCCTGTTAGGCTCTTGTACCACACCATTTATGTGAGGCGACAGAAGAAAGTTTAGAAATTTAGGCTACTTTAAAATTTCCTTACTAAATATTCTGCCACTGGATAAGGAATGACCATGGGTATCCTCTGAGCTTATCCTCTGAGCTTCAGGAAGACAGGTGAGTGAAGATGACGTTGCCCAATTCCTTTCAGATTTCAAATTTAGGCCCAGAGAACTCAGCTCTCTGTTCAGTCTCCTGAACTCTGCGGGGCTCACCTTTGGACTCTTATACCCTTCCCAAAAGGGCATGGAGAGATGTCGAGTCAAAAGAGAAGGGAATGTGAGGCAGCTCTGGAGAAGCAGAGGGAGAGTGAACACCAGCTATCCATTTCCCAGGGCCATCAGGGCCCAGGAGTCAGTTCCTTATTTAATACAACACTGTCTCTGTTCTGGTATGCACCATGTGTGTGCAAAGATGGATGGATGGATGGATGGATGGATGGATGGATGGATGGATGGATGGATGGATGATGATAGGTAGACAGATAGATAGACATATGCATATACATGTATACATACACATACATATATATGTATATATTTTAAACTATTATTTAGTTGAATATTCCTGATTTATCTAGATTATATAAGTTAGATAAATTTATATGTTAAATTAAAAAGAAAAAATGAATGATCTCTATAATACTCAAAATGCTAACAGGCGTTTTTACTCCTAATTAAGATTTATTAACAACTCTAACTCTGAACATTATACCTTATTAAAAAAAAAAAAAAAACAGGATTGGGGAGAAGGAGGATCATTTTCATTGAATATATTAAATCTTCAATATGTATAAGTTTTATTTACCTAACTAGGCAGGAAGGATTCTTTACTCTATAAGGAAAACAGAACAAAATATATGCATATCCATTATTTCACATATATTAAGCCCAGATGGGCAAAATTTATATAATGTCTCAGAGTTTCCCTTTCTATCTATGGAAAAAGAAGTGGGTTGATGATCTTTCAATGCTCAGGTTCTATGAGCACATGTCTAACAAGGGTCCTTATAAAGAAAAGCCTTAAGAAAGCCCAAAAACTTGTTCTGATGATGATCCAAAGGAGAGGATGAGGAGCAAGGGCTGAGGATAAAGCACTAGAAATAGCCACCATCATTCAGCTGAGGTCAGCTCAGCCAGGCATTTAATTAAGTGAAGTCCAGTAAGCATAACTAAATTTGGGGAAATTATATTTAAAGTATTAAATAGGTCTTCAACTTTCAGGGATCAACTTAGTTGAGAAAGAGCAAAGAAGGCATTGAACTGAAAGCCAAAATCTCCCTGCCCTTGAATAAGTCTATTGCTAAGGCTCAGTGTCATCCTAAAATAGGGACACACCACCTGAATGTCCTCACAGGGTGGTTGTGAGGATCAGATACAAGTGTGTGAAAATGCTTTGGAAATCACAATGCACTACACTAAATTATTTATTTAAAAACTCATATTTTTATTTTTTAGGCGAGGCAACCCTTGGTTGACCTCACAGATTGCAAGGACCTTGTCAGCTTACAATCCTTTACTTTTTTATTTTTTATGCCTACAGCACCTGGTCTTTCTAGGTGGTCTCCCATCCAAGAACTAACCAGGCCTGACCCTGCTTAGCTTCCAAGATCAGACAGGATCAGATTTATTCAGCGTAGCATGGCCATAGACAAAAAAAATATTTTTAAACTAAAGTTTTCTGCTATCAAAACCACAGCCAATTACCTTTTCATAATACCAAAACACCAAGCAATTTTTAAGTAGGAGATTTTTTTTTTTTTTTAATATCTTCATTTTAAAGATTTGGATATTAAGAATTTAACATCAAAACATTCCCCAATAAATTCTCTAGGTTTACATTAATATAACCAACGGAGGAAAGTATACAAATACAAGCTATTATTTGGTCAAGTAGCAGGATTTAAAATGGCTACTACCAATCATTTAAGAGATTAGGATCTCTTGGAATAAAGGTTTATAAATAATATGCTGGGAACCACTTGCTGAAGCAGTTCTAGAGTTGTTCATGACAGAGTCCTCCTGGCAAATGCTCTGGCCCTAAAAGCAGAAAAGGGATCTCTAAACATAGAGACATGGAGCCAGTGTTATAATCCGTTAAGCCTTCAAAAGGTATTTATGTCTGTGTATTATGGGTTTTAAATCCTGGGGTGGTACAAAACTTGATAGCACACAGTAGGCTGGCAGATACTAAATGATTTAACTTCTCTATGCTTCTATATCCTCATCTATAAAATGGGGATAAGAGTCCCCTATGTGGAAAAGACTAATAAAGAGATTACATGGAAAGCACTGCCTTATACCTAGAGCATAGGTAGTAGTCAACGAATCAAAGTCAGCGTGACTAGGAATAGCTGAGTATTTCAGTTATCTTTGTCTTTAAACTAAAAGCTTTGCTCTTTTAAATGCCATTTTAAATAGTACTAGGATTTCCCCCAAAACAATTTACAACAAATGTAGAATATAAGAAGGCATTTTATTATAGGGAGCAGGAAGCTGGGAGAAAATAACACTTACTTATCCAGTTTCTGACATTGAGGAAACTTTGCTCATTTGTCAGATCAAAAAGCAGGAGAAACCCCATGGCATCTCTGAAGAACGCTGTTGTCAAGCTCCGAAACCTAGGAACGTAAAAGCAGACTGGTCAGCTAAACCATGGTCCCACTCCTGAAATAGAAAGTTACAACAGTGCCCTCAACCTCTTACAATAGATAATCAATAACAAATTAGATGTTTAATGTGCCACTGTTCCTAATAACTTCATATTACATATGCACTGTATAGCTCTTAGTTACATAAAATTTAGTCAATTATGCTTTTATAAATGATACCTTCGACAGTATAAAATTATGTGTATAATCAATTGACTGGGTATCTTATAAAATATAGTAAATAGCTATCTTGAGCAAAAAAGAATATTTGAAAATATATCTGGAGTTTATTAAAATGCCAGTAATTATCAAAAGTTATACTTGGAATTCTTAAAAATAAAGGCCTGTATAAATTAAATTTTTTTAAAAAAAATTAGATGGTGATATTCCAAAAGTATATGACAGTTATTTATCATTTATATAAGTTACTGTGTTAACAGATCATACAATTTGAACACCCAGCCTGCTAGACAGCCTGCTAGACAGGGATGACAAGAATTAGCTTGTGATCTTTTAGTCTCACCCAAGAATTTATTGTACAATTAAGAATTAATAAGGCCAAAAGAGATGGTGCTTGCTGTGTGTTTTCCTTGTCCTGTGAAAGCTTGGCTTGACTTGACATTACAATGTGTTCCATTACGACTTCTTAATTTTAATCTCTACAGAGTCTCTTATCATTGATAAGCAATTTCTTCGGCTTTAAGGTGGGAGTAGTATTTACTCAGTCTCTGTGCTTTCTTGGTACTCTCTTTCCCAAGGCCTTATGCTGCTGTCTCCCCTTCTCTCTTATTCTAACAGCTTCCTCTTACTTTGCCTTTATGCAAAGCCTTCAACTGACAGGGAAGAAAATACTGGTATGAATATGTCATCTAATCTGCTATTTTAAGTTTTCTCAAATATTTCTAATTAATGTTTTTATAAAAACAATGCTTACCTTTTAAAGATACATACCAAAATAATTATGAATGAAATAATCTGATTTGGAATTTGCTTCAAAAGAATTTGGGGGAGAGGTGAACAGGAATAAAGGGTAATAAGACTGGCCACAATTTGATGACTGTTAAAACTAGGAAATGAGTACATGAGTTCATTGTACTATGCTCTCTACTTTTGTGTATATGCTGAAATTTTTCATAATAAAAAGTTAAAAAAAAAATCCTTCAAGGAATTCGTGAGAGAAAACAGAAGCCTTAACTAACTAAAAGCAACTTTACATCAATATTTCACGTAACTTATTTTGGTCAAGCAACTTCTCATCATATGGTTTAATTCCAACCAGATTTTTCCACTAGGTTTTAACAATCAGGTAGGAATAATGCGTGTAAATCTGTAGCTTTTTTGTGGCTGAGTAAATAGCAAAAGTAATTTGAGAAAAGTGTACAAGCCTTAAAAAAAAAGAAAAGAAAAGAATCCATAAGTAAGATGGTCCATTTAGAAAAGGATTCATTTTCTCTTTGACCTTGTATGAAATAAAGCCACCATTATCATCTCAGACTGATCGATTTCCTGCTAATTTGGTAGCATGTCTTATCCAGATGCAAATCGACTAATCAGCTAACCTTTTCCTGTGCATGGTCACGGTATTAAAAGTGTAGTTGTTTTCTCCTTTCCTCCAGCATGAAATACATAACTGAAAATCTCATACCTCTCCTGCCCTGCTGTGTCCCACAACTGAAGGTGGATTCTCTGGCCTCTGCCAATGGCTCCATCTGGCCCATTGGCTCTGTACACCTAAAACAGCAAAATAAGAGAAAAAGAGAACTTCTGAAACCAGCTTCTGAACTCTTCTCACTTTCCTATTCAGTACATGTTCCCTGAGCATCTGAACTTCTAAAGAAAATCCCATTGGAATACAAGTTTATTTGTATTTTATCCCAAATAATTGTCTTTGGATAATGTAATAATTTGCATTAATATATATACATTATATATTTTTGTAAATGTATTATGAAATGTATAAATAATACATAATTTATATAAAAATAATAATCAGCTCACCTTTCCTCAAAGTTACCTCAGATCACTTATTTCAAGAAATATTATCTTTCTGTGACTTTTCCCTATCCCATCTTTAAAAAGTACTCTAAAACAATTTTATAGGAAAGAACTGTGAAAATCTCTTTCTCCATAAAAGCAATGAAAACACTGGCAAAAACTCAAAATCAACTTTATAACTCTGAATATCAGTAAAAACAGTAAGTTTTGTACTGTTTTAACTTGTCCTATTCTCATCCCCCTCTCCCCACCTCCACAGTAGTCTTGAAAACCAATAGATGCATAACTATGATAATTGTGAAAACCATCAGCACAGCAGCCATAGGCAGTGGAAGCAAAACAGATTTGGAGCTTCCCCCAAAGTCTCATCCCCAGAGAACTGAAAGCCACCTTGTAAAGCTCCATTCTCAGGCCTTGTCTTTATTTTACCCGACTCAGAGCTGGCTCTATGAGAATAATCCTATACTTAGGGCATTGCTGAAAATAATCAGTAGCAAGTATTTAACATCTCAGGTACCAAAGGCAGCAATACCATTTGGAGTTACCAGAAGTCTAACTTAAAAAAGAAAAAAAAAACTTAAAGAAAAAAAATAGGAAATGAGGTGTCTATGGGGAGATTTGCAAAGTTCCAAAATATTCCTTGGAATCTACTGCTTATGGGTAGAGCTGTATATAGGCTTAGGGTATATTTGAAAAGGGCCTAATCTCTCACCTCTGGCTGACCTTGAAGCTCTTCTCAAGCATGAAGTGAAGGCTAAGGCAGAATTGTAAACTGCCTAAAGGAGCATTAAGCACATGTCCCAAAACACACACACACACACACACACACACACACACACACACACACACATTCCCTTAGAAAAAGCTGAGAGGCTAAGTAGTTCAAGGAATTTAAGAAACTCTCTGTCCATTAGTTGACCACTAAGTTAACTGAGCAGAGACTTCAGTAGCTGCACATAACAAAGAATACAGACCTTAAAGAATTAACCCCAGAATGTCATTAAACAAACAGACAGCAACAACAATACAAAAAACAGCAAAAACAAGAAACTCTCAGAGCAGAAAGGAGTCTGACCTCCAGAGTTACCACATTATATTATTTTAAATGTCTAGTTTTCAACAAAATTTATGAGACACACAAAGAAACAGGAAAGTAAGGCCAATACTTTCCCATACACAGGGAAAAAACCAACCAATATAAATCATTAGTGAGGAAGCCCAGATGTTGAACTTATTAGACAAAGGCTTTAAATCAGCAATTATAAATATAGTCAAAGAACTAAAGGAAATTGTGCCTAAAGAATTAAAAGAAAGTATGAGAATAATTCCTTACTAAATAGAGAATGTCAATAAATATAAATATTATAAAAAGAAGTAAATAGAAATTCTGAAGTTGTAAAGTATATTAACTAAAATGTAATATCTACTAGAGGGGCTCAAGAGCAGGCTTGAACTAGCAGAAGAAATAATCAAGTTGAAGATACATCAATTGAGATTACCTAGTCTAAAGCACAGAAGGAAAAAAGAATCCAAGAAAAAAGAGTTTCAGAGGTTTACCAAACATCATCAAACATACCAACATATACATACTGAAAATCCTATAAAAAGAGGTGAAAAGAGGCCAAAAATTTTTTTGAAGAAATAATAGCCAAAAATCTCCCAAATTTGATGAAAAATATTTACCTGCACATTCAAGAAACTCAGCAAACTCCAAGAAAGATAAACTCATAAAGACTGACTAGATACATCATCATCAAACTTTCAAATCCAAAGAAGCTTAAAAGCAGCAAATGAAAAGTGAGTCCTCACATACAAGGGATCCCAACAAGACTGGAGTTGATTTGACTGGAGGTCAAAAGGCAGTAGGATAACATAATCAAAATACTGAAAGAAAAAAGACCAGCAACCAAGAATTCTATATCCAGCAATGCCATCATTTAAAATTGAAACAGAAGTTAAGATATCTCCAGATAAACAAAAATAGAAAATTCATTGCTAGCAGAACTGCCTTATAAGAAATAATAAAGATAATGCTTCAGGTTGAGATGAAAGAACACTAGGCAATAATTCAAATCCATCCAAAGAAATAAAGAGCACCAGTAAAGGTAACTACATAGGTAAATATAAAAGATAGTATAAATGTATTTCTGCAACTTTTTTCTTCCATCTGATTAAAACACAACAACACAAAATAATTATAAGTCTGTGTTGATGGGCACACAGCACATAAAGATATAATTTGTATAACAATAATAGTGCAAAAGAAAGAGTAGGAAATGGAGCCATAGAAGAGCAGAGTTTGTATAGTATTGAAATTAAGTTGGCATTAAACCAAACTAGATTGTTAAAAATTAAGATGATAATTGTAATCCCCAGGGGAAACTATTAACAAAATAACTCAAAAAATATATGGTAAAAAAAATAACAAGGTAATTAAAATGGTACCTTAAAAATATATACCAAAATAAAGCAGTCATGAAGAAATAGAGAAATAAAAAACATAAGACACATAGCAAACAAGTAGCAAAATGACAGATATAAATCCCACTTTATCAGTAATTTTATTAAATGAAAATAGATTAAAGACTCCAAATGAAAGGAAGAGATTGGCAGAATGATTAAAAACTGTGATCCATCAAAGCGTCTAACAATAGATGGTTACATAAAGAAGTTGTGGTACATATATACAAAATAATACTACTTAGCTATAAGAAGAGATAGAATACTGCCATTTGTGACAACATGGATGGACCTTGAGATAATCATACTAAGCAAAATAAGCCAGACAGAAAAAGTTGAAAACCACATGATAACACTTACATGTGGGATATAAATCTAAAAGCAACAAACAAACAGGACAAACAAACAGAGGCTCATGGACATGAGACTAGTGGTTACCAGAGGAGAGGGTAGATGGGGTAAAAGGGGTCAAATATGTGGTGACAGACAGAAATCTAACTGTGGGTAATGAACACGCCATGCAATATATGTATGCCTTTCTGTTGAATTGTACACTTTGAAACACTGGATTTTGTTAATGAATGTCACCATAATAAAAGAAGAAAGAACGAGAGAGGGGGATAGAGAGAGAAAGATAGAAGTTGTGATCCATCTATATGCTGTCTACCTGAGACACACTTTAGACTCAAAGACACAAAGAGGCTATAAGTAAAAGTTTGAAAAAACGTATACCATGCAGTTATCAAAAGGCAGTTGGAGTGGCTATGCTAATACCAGACAAAATAGACTTTAAGACAAAAATTGGTATTAGAGACAAGGAAATATATTTTATAATGATAAAAGTGTCAATCCATTAAGAACATATAGAGATAAAAAGAGAGAAACAAATAATTCGACAATAATATTCAGAGACCTCAATATTCAACTTTCATTAATGGAGAGAACAAGTAGGCAGATGAAGAAGGAAATAGAAGACTTTCACAACACTCTAAACTAACTAGACATAACATACATCTATAGAACATTTCCTCTAAAAACTGTATAATACACATTCTTCTCAGTTACACGTGAAATGTTCTCTAGGATAGACCATATGTTAACTCATAAAACAAGCCTCAATAAACTTAAAAGACTGAAATCATACAAAGTATATTCTTCAACCACAGTGGGGCAAAATTAGAAATCATTAACAGAAATAAATTTGGAAAATTCACAAATATGTGGAAATTAAACAGAATATTAAATAACCAAGGAGTCAAAGAAGAAACACAAGGGAAACTACTTTCAGATGATTAAAAATACTTTCAGATGATTAAAAACAAAAACACAACATACAAAAAAGTTATCCAATGAAACTAAATCAGTACTCAGAGGGAAATTTAAAGCAGTAAGCACCTATATTAAAAAGCAAGAAACAGCTCAAATCAATAAATTAACTGTCGCCCTTAAGGAACTAGAAAAATAAGAGTAAAATAAACCCAAAGCAAGCAGAAGAAAAAATAATAATAAAGATTAGAGTGTAAATAAATGAAATTGATAAACTTTTAGATAGACTGACCAAAGATAAAAACAGAAGACTCTATTTCCTAAAATCAGAAGTAGAAAAAAGGCTACACACCAACCTTCCAAATATAAAAAGATTATAAAGGAATACTACGAACAACTGTATGCCAAAAATTTAGAAAACCTAGAAGAAATGGAAAAATTCCTAGACGCTAACAACTGAAACTACAGAAGAAATAGAAAATCTAAATATATATATAAAACTGATAAGTAGACTGAGTCAGTAATCAAAAAACTTTCCACAAAGGAAAGGTCAGGCCCAAACGTCTTCACTGGTGAATTCAATCAAATGTATAGAGAAGAATCAACATCGATCATTACTAAACTCTTCCAAAATATAGAAAACCCATCTCAACCCATTTTATGAGGCCAACATTATCCTAATACAAAAACCAAAGATATCATGAGAAAGAAAAAAAACTACACACCAATATCCATTCTGAATATAGACATTAAAATACTGACAAACAGAATCCAGCAACTTATAAAAAGGATTATATACCACGACCAAGTGAAAGTTATCACAGGAACAGCAAGGTTGGTTTAACATACAAAAATCAATCAATACACCATAGTAATATAGGACTAAAATAATAAAGGATTAAAACCACATGACCACCTCAATAGATGCAGAAAAAGCATTTGAAAAAATCCAGCACCTTTCATGATAAAAACACTCAACAAGTTAGGAATAGAAGGGAATGTACTCAACCTAAAAAACAGCAGCTATGAAAAACACACAGCTATATTATACTTAATGGTGCACATCTGAATGATTTCTCCCTAAGATCAAAAACCAGACATTTTACTAGAGGTTCTTACCATGGCAATAGGGCAAGAAAAAGAAAAAGAACATGTCCAAATTGGAAAAGAAGAGGTAAAACAGAAAATGATGTGATCTTTAACATAGATAATTCTAAAGAATAAATACACACACAATAAACACACACACACACAATTAGAACGAATAAACAAGTTCAGCAAGATTCCACTACACGAGATTAATTTACAAAATAAATTGTGTTTCTATACACTGGCAATGACAATTCAAAAATGAAATTAAGAAAACAATTTACAATACCATAAAAAGATTAATATACTTAGGAATAAATTTAACAAAAGAAATGTAAAACTTATACTCCAAAAGCTACAAAACATTGTTAAAAGAAAGAAGAACTGAATAAAAGAAAAAATATTCCATGTTCATGGATCAGAAGACTTAATATTGTTAAGATACTAATACTTCCCAATTTGATCTACAGATTCAATGCAATCATTATCAGAATATCAGCTGGCTTCTTTGTAGAAATTAAAAAGATGACCCTAAAATTCAAGTTGAACCACTATTCACACCATACACAAAAATTAGCTCAAAATATATAATAAACCTAAATGTAAGAGCTAAAACTCTTTGTGTGTCATATATCTAATGAGAACGTTTATCTGGAATATGCATTAAAAAATCTCTTAAAATTTAACAACAAAAAGACAACCAATTTCAGAATAGACAAAAGATCCGAATGGACATTTCTTCAAAAATGATATACAAGTGGCCAATAAGCACATACAAAGATGATTGCTTGATAACATCTATCTCCAGGGAAATTCAAGTCAAACCTACCTGAGGCACCATTTCACACCTCTCAGAATAGCTATAGTCAAATAGACAATAACAGGAATTGGTGAACATATAAAGAAATTGGAACCCTCATACGTTGCTGGAAATGTAAAATGGTGCAACATCTTTGGAAAAATTTGAAAGCTCTCAAAGTTAAACAGAAAGGATCATGGCCAATCAATTCTACTTCTAGGCCTATATACCCAAGAGATTTGAAAACATAAGTCTACACAAAAGAAAAATGTATATGAATGTTAATAGAAGCATTATGCATAACAGCTAAAAAGTCAAACAACCCAAATGTCCACCAATGGATGAATGGATAAATAAATGTGATATATCAATACAATGAAATGTTATTTGGTCATAAAACAAAATCGAGTTCTGATATATGCTACAACATGGATGAATCTTGAAAAACATTATGCTAAGTGATAGAAGCCAGACATAAAAGGCCACATATTGTATGATTCCATTTATATGATATGTACAGAATAGGCAAATCCATAGAGAGCGCATTAGTGGCTGTGGGAAGGAGAAATGGGGAATGACCATTAAAATGCATGAAGTTTCTTTTGGGGTGATACAACATTCTAAAATTAAAAAGTAGTGATGGTTGCACAACTGTAAATATACTAAAAACTACTAAATTGTACACATTAAATGGGTGAATTTTGTGTTATGTGAATCATATCTCAATAAAGCTATTTTTTAAAACAAGGTTATAAAATGGGAAATAATAAATATAATCATACATATTAATTCTATCAATTATATGTCAATACTGAAAATTTCATGAAGATTCTATTCTTACTCAGTGGGTTTGAGTTTCTATTAAGACTCGGGTAGTGGAAAGAAAGACTTAGAGTGGTAGGAGAGAATGAATGCTTCTGTCCTAGAAGCCAGAGGCCCTGTTTCTTTCCCAGGTAGAATATGTTCTATTGAAGAGTCTTTGTCATTAATCTCCTGACCACTTGTTGACCTGCTCATGATAAGTCAATCTTTTAGCAAGAAATGTAGTTCATGGGAAAGGCCCTCTTCACTCAGCAATTCTGACCCAGTATCTTCCTGGCTTCCCCTCACCACCAGAAAAATTTTCAGTCTTGTTGTCCATTTAAAAAAAAAACAAAAAACAAAAAACCTCTTCCCTCCCTCATCATTCTGCAGAATCTCGGTTCCCTTGGTTACTTCCCAGATCAACATGCACTACCAGCATTCCCACTCCTACTCCAACTTCACACTCCTGGCGGCAGTGATGAGTGCTGCCATTTAGTGTTCCATGTGGGATTCTGAGGCCTAATTAAGAAAAAAGCCATTAAGAATGATATCAAAGGTAGGAGAAATAGCTCACAAAACAGTACCATAAGGGCCTAGGTGGTTTGTGGGCTTCATGGCAAAGGTAGACAAATAAATTTGTGGAGTTCAGAGGGAAGACACAAGCCAAAAAGGTATCAAGGGAAAGTTGAAAAGAATCTTCACTTCTACTTTATCTGCTCGCTTTTGTATAAAGCATCCTTTAGCACAGCCCTTGAAATCGCATTGTCCAGAGTGAACATAATACACTTTTATACGTACCCTTTAATTTTAGATTCCAACCCTTGTCTTCCTAATTCCTATAAAATTAACTAACCAGACAGGCAAATGTGGACTCGGAGATTATATTGTTATAAAGAAGGATACAGGACTTACCACTCTCTTTTCCCTGAAATCAATGCCCACTGTTGTGATAAATTTGGAGTTAAATTTACCATCTGTATACTGGTAAAGCACACTGGTCTTCCCTACTCCAGAGTCTCCCAAAGCTAAAAACTTGATGAGGTAATCATAGTCTCCATCAGACATAATGAAGAACTCAGTGGTTCACCTGCAAAATACAAACAAGTGCATATTTACTTAAAATCCATTACAGAATATTAGAATCCTCCATGAGTAAAATGACTTACTTTAATACCCAGTTCAACAAGTACTTCCATGTAATATCTATATACCTAAGGGTCCTGAGGAGAGGATTAGATATTATTCACTGATCTCAAGAACCTAATAACTTGCTAGAAGTGTTGCTACTGAAATAGCAAATAACAGTTTAGTTTAAATTTAATGTGTATATTATAGTACTGTTAAGACAAAAATTCCAAAAAAGAATGATAATCAAAAATAAAATAGTCACTAAGTCCTAAATGCAAGATCATAGAGAATAAAAATTTTGAAAAAAAAAGAGAGGAGGAAGGAGAATATTACAAAAATAACTATAATTCTTAGGGCACAAGTGGTTCCAATTCCCCCTTCTTTTTCAAAGTCTCCTAGTTCTGGATCCTTTGCTTTTCTCTTTTTTTATTTAGACATCTAGACAATTTCATTTATTCTATTCTTTTTCACGTGTCATTACAGTCCCTTCAAAGACAATGCTAAATTCACAAGTAAAATTTGGCTTGCAGCTTTCTTATATGTTATAATTATATGCTACATATTAAATTAGACTTTTCTGTACTATCACCGCTTGCTTAGGAACTGAGTTCCAGATTTGAGCAGTCACTGCTCAGAAACTAGAGTTCCACCACGAAGGACTTGTTCGCCTATACTTGCTTTGGTATTCTAACAAGAACTGGTACCGATTTAGCTCTTTATGTTACAGAAGAAAAATTCTTGTTTTTACCAGCAAGACCTAACCACGCTTATTTTTTATCCTTTGCAATCAGCACTTTTCATGATTTGCTTTTATCCTCTCGATAGATTCGAAATATTCAAAATATTAGTCTGAGTAAGAGTGTATACAGTCTGTCTCTAGGGAAGGCTTATGTCTTTTCATTCTCTCATTTCTCATACCAATAAACTGTCCTGAAAATTAGAAAAATAATCAACTACCCCACTACCACTGACAACAACTCTACCTGCCCATTCAAGCTCACATACTCGCCCATGTAAAATCAGATTACCTACATTGGATGCTGCTGATTTTCCTCTTACTGTCTCCTTTTCACCCAGCCCCATATCCAGGAACTTTACCACAATTCTCAATGCTTCCTATAGGATTATTTTAATAGATTTATAAAATTAATAAAAGCTCAGTCAAGGACCTTTATTGATTTTTCAAGGTTCCCTCTCTGACCCAATCCTCAATTTGGTGACTCACCTTATGCTCAAAATTCCTAAATGCTGAGCCCCAAGAGCCACTGCAGTGTACTTCCTCAGAATGCCTTAGTGCAGGTCTATGACTTCACATTCAGATATGGCTGGTCGTCAATAAGGGCAGAGCCTCTACAAACATTCATAATTCTATTTGCACACTATAAAGAGTGACACTTTATGGATGATGGATTTTCTATGTTATAGCTTTTGTTTTCACAGGTGTAGGTTGCCAGTAGTAATGGTATATGATAGAATTCTTCTCCAGAAGATGACCATTTGGGTACAAATAAATATTCTAATATTATATCACAGCACCTCACTTGGCTCCAAATTATTCAGAAACAAGAACTAAAAACTGAAAAGCATGTCCAGATAATGTTTAATCATTTTGGGGTGCCCCTCAAAATGAATAAGGAAGCAGCAGTAAGCAACTCCAAACTCTGCAATAAAAGTGATGCAAGAAGACACTGTGGCTACCTTATTTCCTCTTTACTTTTAGTTTGAAAAAGTCAGTCATTTCTATAATTATGTTCTTATATGACTTAAGGTACAGGAAAAAATGCTGTCACCAATGGCATCGCTACTGTAGAATTCTCTAAAACCTCTTGAATGGAATTTAAAGACAAATGAAACTATCTCTGCTGCACCGAAAATGAATATATTTCGTTATCAGGAGAGAAAAATCACACATCTAAGTCTACAAATGATCTTCATGGGTTTTGTTTCCTATTCATGTTGATAGCAATACACAAGTTTGTTTCCAAACCAAGCCATCGCAAAGGAAGTGTTAACAAACCAGATACCACAACTGAAGGTATAGATACCACCATCAGTGTTAATAATAGTTTCTACTGTTCAGGGTGCACTTTTAGACAATTATCTGTCTTGTTATATGAAAATAAATGCTTAAAACTTTCATTATCCAGGTTCAGTTTTCTAAAGGATAAAACAACCCAGAGAGGTTAACTCATTGGTGTAGTCTAGAACATAGGTCTCCTAACTCCAAGTCCAATGTCCACTCTACCCCAAGCTTCATGCTATTACTCAAGTTTTCAAAAATGCATGTTGGGCTGAAAAATGACTAGGTATAATATCATACAAGGTAGCCTATCACGAAACACATGACCTCTACAGTCAAGAAGAGCTTGATTGAATCCTATGTTTCCCACCAACCAGCTACCCAGATGTCTTTGAGACTTGGTTTTGCATGTTTCCATTCTATTAAAAAGAAAATAATATACACTACCTCACACCATTGTTCTAAGGATTGAATGGAATACTCTTTGTGGAGTGTCCAGCGCAACACTCGGCATATGCTGGGTGCTCAGTAAATGTTAGCTCACTTCCTTCTCCCCATTTTGGAAAGATCAGACTGGCTCTGAAGACCTAGAACAAGTTCTGAAATTGCCATTGGGCAACTCAAAACCTATATTTCTAGCACTGAAGATTGCTGACTTCCTCAGAGTAGTTTGCCGAGTCAACAGAGATCACTTTCAAACTAATTCTGATCTTTTGAGGCTGGTTCAAACAATTTCAATTCATTTCAAATAGATAAGGTCAATTTCAAAAGAGTTGTAATCCGCCTAAAAACAGGTTCAAATCTGTATAAAACATTTCAGTCCATTCTAACAAGTTCATACTTGTTCAAAAGAATCTGGATGATTCATAATAGTGCAGAGTGAAAAAGTTGAGTTAAAGGAGGTTCTACCTACAAAACCATTTCTGATTGATCTAAAACCACTCTGGCTAGAAAACCAGATGTATCTAACCAAAATTATTTGGGTCTGGTTTAAATAGCTCAAATTGCTTCAGACTGATTTTAGCTAGCTCTAATAAGTTCATACCTGAACAAACAAGTTCTGAGTGGCTCACATAGTTGAAGTGGTTCAGAGTAATTTACCGAATCAAGTTAGTGCCAACCAATTAAATCTATCTCTGACGGGGTCATACTTGCTCTAATTTTATCAAACTGCTTGTAACTAGTTCAAGTCATCTATAAAATGGTTTTTACTGGCTTAGACTGGTAAAAACTGATTCAAAACAATTCAAATTGACTGATCAGAAGTTCAAACAGTTCAAGACTAGATGCATAAAATGACAATCAGAAGCCCCCAAAGCAATGGTTTGGTGCTTTAAACTTGCACTGAACCAACAAACTTAAAATTTTACTTATAATTACCTCAGTTGAAGGTAGTCTGTACCCAAAATTTTATCTCCATCACAGTACAGTTTCTTTCTACACTTGAACAGCTTATTCCATGTTAGAGTACAGCAAACAGGTTGGGAGAAAGAAGTACTAGCAGAGAAGACTATGATAAATAATAGGGGAAGGCGTGATGAGTAACACAGTCTTCCTTGGTTGAGAGCTCACTTCCCGTTTTATCTCAGCAAAATATTAACCCATAATCCAACAATAAAACAGAAATTTCAGTTGGGGAAACTTTTAGCAAATCTGGAGGCTATGTAGAGTTTGTCTAAATTGGCCAGTGACCAATCTGGTCTTAGTTAGCAGAGACAGAATTCTAAAGAGTAAAGAAACTGCAAGGAAATAAAAGAATTCAGGGAGCAGGCAAGTCCTCAAAGTGATAACAGAGATTTTTCAGGGTATTTGGACAGGGTATTGATGGTGATAGGCTCCTTACGCGAACTTGCAGTTTAGTCAGTCAAGGCTTGGAATTAAAGAAATCATTCCACCTTTCAGCAGAAAAGAATCCTAGTCCATAACAAATTACAATGCTAAACTCACCCTGCAGTACCACACGTGGCTGTCTCACCACTGCTCTTCACCACTCAGTGAAGATAACTTAAGGTTCAACTGCTGGTAAGTCTTCATATAGAACCATCTTCATTTAAAATATTGTTTTGTTTCTTATCTTTGTTAGTCAAGTCCTGAGTGGTGTTACTGGGGCCTGTTGTCAGGAAAGAAAATACACCACGCCCCAAGTATGGAAATTACATAAATTACTTCTATGTCAGCATTTTAGAGTAAGGAGGGAAACAGTAAAAACACACAGTACAGAATTTGACATTTGGGGCACCTAAACATTTTGTGCACACTGTTTCCAACTAGTACTTCAGCCTATTGATGCCTGGGAAGCCAGTCATCCAGGCTTCCCAATTGCATTGCTTTTGCTAAAAATGGGTCAGAAGCCTAGATCAGATGCCCACGTGTCAAGGACTTCATAGTGTAACAATCCTCATAACAGCCCTAGATGCAGGTGGTGCACACCACACACATTCCGTCACAGATGCCACAATGAGAGGATGAGTAACTGGATCTTGGGCAGTCTCTCCACATGTTAGCGTGGGCTCAACTCCAACATATTGTTGAAAGAAAGAAAAAAGTGGAGGTTAAGAGCATGGACTCTAGAACCAAATCATCTGGATATGAATCCGGTCATGTAATTTTGAAAATTTTAATCTCTTTTGCCTTGGGTTCTTCATCTGTAAAATGAAAATGATATCCTATTTTATTAATTCTAACATGTATATGCCTTCTTATTTTAAATTCTTTAAAATTGAGGTAGGTCTTACATTTCAGAGTCTTACAATGCATGATATCTTGCAGTTGCTATTAAATCAGATGGCATTGGAGATACAGTTGTATGAAAACCTTTGATGAGCATCTTCTAACAAGGTCAAGAATGCACCATCAATACATTTTAGATTTGATGAAAGACAACAGTAACCCTATCTCAGATGGCTGTTGTGAGGATTAAATTGGGTATACATATAAAG